TTTTATTTTTATGAAAAGTTAGTTTACATAAATCACAAACACGTTTCTATTTACACACTCGCCAGTGGACAGATAATTGGAAGTTGAAGAAAACATCAAATTTATATCTTAGTCTGTAGATTTTAATTATTGAACAAGGCAATAATTCAAGTTAGCCTCTGACTAATAGATAAAAACTAGATGTCTCAATGAAGAAGATATGTTTGCTCTGGGCCTCTGACTAATTGAAAAAACTGGATGTCTCAATGAAGAAGATATGTTTGCTCTGGGTCTCTGACTAATAGAAAAAACTGGATGTTTCAATGAAGTAGATATGTTTGCTCTGGGCCTCTGACTAATAGAAAAAACTGGATGTCTCAATGAAGCAGATATGTTTGCTCTGGGTCTCTGACTAATAGAAAAAAACTGGATGTCTCAATGAAGTAGATATGTTTGCTCTGGGTCTCTGACTAATAGAAAAAAACTGGATGTTTCAATGAAGAAATGTTTGCAACTGTGTCAAAATAGAAAATTTAATCGTTTCATATCAACCTATTATTGTATTAGCATTTATTATGGCTTATTCTTTCATTAATATTTGTTTGTCCATTCAACCAAAAAGTGTTTTCTTTATTTTATATTTAATATAAATATTAGAATTAGTATTTTGTATACTATCTACCCATCGCTAGTGTTTGTGTATTGTTCAAAATATGATTAATATATAGTATTGAATTATTTTTGACTTATTTATGTACTTCAATTCTGAAAGTCTCCTAGAAAATTTGTCCTGGGTTTTTATCAGGCCTTGCAGTAAATAATGAACATTATAAAAAGTAATTAAACACGAGGAGTTAGATATGTTTTTTATTTTAAAATTCTTGATCTTAGAATTATATTACATAATTTAAGGAGATAGACCATTTATTCGAGTCTTTCGTGTGAATCACTCAAATCATTTATTATTTAAAGTTCTTTTAAGGAAGGCGGCAGCACCACTACACACTGTCTTCTACTACTAATTACATCCTAGTATGAAGAACAGAAGCAAAAGTACCCGTCCCCAGTGACGGGAAAGTTTAAGTCAATATATCAATTTAAATTAATTCATGGACTTTAAAAAGGTTAATTTTGTTGCACTCCTGGTTTTACTCAGAGCCAAAGCTCTCAGCTACTTATGCCACCCACTGCGAAAAGTAAATATTGAGCATTTCAGTCATGCTAAGAGCCGCTCAACAATACGGTAAATCTACATTTTTATTCTTTAAGTTACTTCACATCTTGAAATATGAATGATAGTGTGATTAATTCCTAATAATTTAGTGTAGAATATCCTGCTTGTGAAATTAAGTTTGGCATCATCATTATTCATGCCTGTTCTCCCGTCATTTTAAAAGTGAATGTTGAGCTTTGCTTGCGTGCGCAGCTTTTCAAACGGGAGATGTACGAACGCTCGGACAAACACCACTGGCCGCAATATATATAAGATTTTAAAACAGACCTTGACAAACAAGAAATTAGTTATACCGATGAAGAACGATTTAGAGGCACCATCTAGTTGTAAGTTGATAAACTTTAAAATATCATCCACGGATTTATTATAGTTAGCGCATGTAGTGATGTTAAAATCTTATCTTATTATTTTATCAATTAATCATTACATTTCCTCAATAAGTTTCAAGTAATAATCAACTCACTAGTTGTGTGATTTCTGGTTTTTATATTCATTTTGCAATACCAACGAAATCAATGTCATTTTGCTGTGTTTACATTTCAAGTTATAGTTTATATCTATGTACAATGTAGTTTTAATTAGTTTGTTAGCCGTCCCTAATTTAGCAGTGTAAGACTAGAAGGAAAGCAGCTAGTCATCACCACCCACCGCCAAATCTTGGGCTACTCTTTTACCAACGAATAGTGGGATTGGTCGCCACATTATAACGCCCCCACGGCTGAAAGGGCGAGCATGTTTGATGGGACGGGGATTCGAATTCGCGACCCGCAGATTGCGAGTCGAGCGCCCTCACCATCTGGCCATGCCGGGCCTTTAATTAGTTAGTCAGAAGATGAATTTTTATTTTAACCTCAATTAGAGCTGTCTTCGCTTTGTTAGTTTTGGGGCTACCTTAAGTAATATATATTCTATTGGCATAGTGCAAAAACTGATAAAATTCCTGTTTGAAAATAAACGAGATAACATATCAATGAAACGATTTAATATATTTGTTTATAACACTTTTTTGTGTTTTATACGTTCATGTTGTTGTTCTTTTTTAATCCTGGAAGTTGACCAAAATTTATCTCATATTAAAATATTAACACCCATATATATATAACATATTTCGTTACACGTGAAAGTAAATTTCACTGTGTACCCCGCGAGTTGTGAAAGCTATTTTAAACTTACTTTAACAATTTTTGCAAAATAATTTGTTTGAGTTGTTTGGTTGTCTGTTTCTTAGTGCAAAGCTACACAATGTGCTATCTGAACTCTGTCCACCACAGGAACCAGACTCCGAATTTAAGTGTTCTAAATGCTTGAACTTACCGCTGATCCACGAAGAGACTGATTGAGTTGAGTAAACTATGGGCCCAGCCAGTAACAAAGTAATCTTGTTGAATAACTACACACACACACACACATGGTAAAGGACTGATGGTCAAGCCTAGAAGTTTTTAATTAGCTTAAAGAAGGAGACGTAGATTTTATTTTAATCTTAGAAATATTATCTGTTGCAGTAATAAGGCCAGTAAATTAAATAAATAAACACATACACACATATATGTTTGTTCGTATATAAGGCTTTGATAAACCTCCAGCCTTATTACTTGCTTATTGTTAAACTTTAGTTTTTATTGATACTTTTATAACCAGACTTCTTCTTTTTTCTTCCTTTAAACTAATTCTGTAAGTGAATTGGATGCTGAAAATACATTTTAATATTATTAGGCTTATCAAGTTTTCATTCAAGTTATTGAATTCGCCGTGTGTTTATAAGTACTGCACATTTTGCTGAGTTTTAGTACTCAGTTCTTGAAAGACCTCTTCAGTATTGCTGTACACTTTTAATATAACATAATATGTAAGAATAACAAAGCGTCTGTTGATCCACCGAGGCTGTTCAATCTGCAAAAATAAACT